CAAACTTTGCACACCCCTACTTCGGCACCTACTTTTCCTTGAAAAATTATAATAACATAGTACACAATATTGGAATTTGTGAATGTGCTCATTTTTGGCACATTTTTTGACAACTCTTTGTACAAAGAAGTTGTATTTGCAAACATCCTCACAATTTATTTTAATACCTAAAATGGACTCTAAGGGCGTGATTGGACATGAATTCAACTGATTTTGGTTGGAATTGGTCAGTTAAATTGAATCATTTTGAATAAAGATGATTGAGTAGATAATTTCAAATTTTAAAACTGAATAATATTTAAAATAATATATAAAATATAATGATTAAAGTTGTTGTGATACAAAAAGTAGGAAATAAGTCATTGAAAGTGATAGATAATTAAAATTATACTAGTGGATGAATAGTTAATTAAAATTAATGTGATGTGTTACAGTATGAGGATGATTAATTGATATTATTTAATTAAAATGATTATACTGATGAGAGTTGAGTTGAATTCGACTTTGAGTTATAAGATTAGAAACCAAATAACCAAATTGGTCACAACGATTAAAACCGGTTTTGTCTCTTGGGGAGTAAATTCGAGTAGCCAAACACCCCAATTGATTGAACATACACACACAATTTTCATTCAAAATGTAAATGTGTTAGTTCATAGTATTTGCATAACATAGTCTCGCATTCCCATAAATATTAAATACAATGCATGGGCTCTTCATTTAGGGATTTAAAAATAAACCAAAAGAAAACTTGGGTGATTTTGTTATTTTTTTTAGTAGTAATTTTCCATTTGGTGGGTGTAACCATCATTACAGCTTTAAGAAATTATTTACGAAAATGATGTTTGCTATGAAAGCTAAGTAGGAATAATTGATGTTATTACTTATTAGACCCATATATGTTTACTTACATGTGTGGTAATGAGTCTAAGGTCATCATATAAAATATATAGTATGTGGACTTATATATGATTACACTCGAGTGTAGTGGGATTGATGCTCATAATGCCCTTGGGATTATCATGCTAACTAAAACATACTATAATGTTCGGGTCAACATTTTATAATCTTATGTGTCATACTAATCCGGACATTGTTGGATTTGATATGGACTTTTTACGTCTTACCTTTGTCCTTTTGTGATTAGTAGTTAATTAATTATGCTTTATTTTGTAGGTATTTAAATGGAATTAGGAATCGAGGGATATTTTATTTATTTATTTATTTTTTGCAAACATGAACGTTATGTGTGGTGCGTGTCACTTAATAAAATCTGCAATATCCTCATATAGACATGAGGATCTAGTCCATGAGTATGATACAACTATAGGCTATAATAATAGCATGCCAAATAAGATTTCTTGCTCTATTTTAATGTTCTATTTTATTTTTTATTGTTTTGAATTAATTATATGTGTACATGTACATGATAATATCATATTTTTTACAAGCGTCTTTCATTCAATAGAAAGAAATATGAAATAAAATATGAAATGAAACGAGAGATCCTATATATCCAAAATTAATACATTATTGATATATATTTGAAATAAATCAACGTGTCACATTAATTTGTTTTATGTATGTTGGATTTTGCAATCTGAACCCCCTTATTTTTATTAATAAAATTCAATACAACATCTTGACCAGAAAATGAAGNAAAAAAAAAAAAAAAAAATATATCAACACAATTAATTTCGGACTGAATATTTTCAAAATGTATAAATGAATCATTTTTTTTCCTTGATATAAATGATATGGGTCAAAAACTGTCAAAACTCACCAGCATTAATTTCTCTCTTATTTGATGATCGATAGCCATAGCATAGGGGCACTAAACATTGAAGTTACACATTTGCCCTAGCTCCTAATAGAAGTAGTACAGTACTTTATTTCAGGAGGGACGTTATGGTAATCACGCACACCTTGAATTATCCCATTAAAAATTGGAAAATAAAAAATAAAAGGAGAGAACAAAAGACACGCCGAGGATGTGAGAAGAAGGGGGGTTTTGATTGAATGAGGGAATAAGGAGAGACAGAGAGAATCATGAGTGTCGGGTAAGCGTGGGGAGTCTGCAATTATTGGGTTGTTTTTTGGCCTTTGTTTCCATGCACGGGACCCGTCCTTTTCCTCAGATTCCCTCTCTCATGCCGCATTTCTCGTTCCTAACCGAATGACGTGTCCCCACTCCACCCTTTTATAATCCTACTATTATTATTATTATTATTATTATTATTTTTACTATTATTACTATTAATTTATAATTGGACTCGTTAAGGCTATAATTCAGTACATTAAGGGGGGTGATTGTTAGAGAGTAAAAGTCGATCAAAATTAAATCTTGAGTTATAGTCAGTTAAATTAAATTATTTTTAGTAAAGTTGATTGAGTGAGATAAGAGATATTGTAATTAAATAATATTTAAATATAATTATTAATGATGGTGTTATATAAAAGTATGAGGTACTTAAAAATATGTAAGTGTGGTGAATAGTGAATAAAAGTTGATGTGATGTATGAGAGAGATGATTGATATTATTAATTATACTGATAATATTGAAGATAGTGTGGTTAAGTTAGATTTGAAGTTAAAATGAGTGAGTTAAATTTTGATCGATCAAAACTGTTTTGATCACCCCCTA